TGACCCTCTAACTCTAGCACTCTCTATTCTAATTCTATTTCATCTATTTGTTGACTTGACCCTCTAGCTCTAGTACTCTCTATTCTAATTCTATTTCATCTATTTGTTGACTTGACCCTCTAACTCTAGCAATCTATTCTAATTCTATTTCATCTATTTGTTGACTTGACCCTCTAACACTTGCACTCTCTATTCATTTTCTAACTGCTTGTTTTCTTTAAAAAAAAGCCTCTAACACTAGCTTTCTCTATTGTTTTTCTATTCTATCTACTTGTTTTCTTTTTGTTATATATATGTATATGTATATCTCAGTTAGCCTAACGCAAAAACTTGCCTATCATTGCTCTTTTGTTGGTTTTGATTGCTTCCATTGTCGTCATTTGTAAGTCGCTTTGGATAAAAGCGTCTGCTAAATGACTAAATGTAAATGAATATGCTGAATAATTTCCATGTTTTCTGGTGAATACAAATATGTGGTGTTCATGTGAAATCTCAATTCTTTCTCTCAGGGGTCCCAGTCGTCTGAAGCCCTTCAAGTACAATCATCCTCAGGGCTTCTTCAGTCACCGCTGAACCAGGATCGCAGGACGAGCGAGGCTGTTTTAGTGTTATTAGCAGGGACTGAAAGCCCTCTCTCATTTGCTTTCATCTACCTTTTATCTCTATTTTTTCTCCTGTGTTTCTCTGTTTGCTCATATAATGTGAATTAGAAAATAAACACTGATTTTGATTAGAAAATCTGCCTGTGTTCTCAGCTGTTTGATGATTCCAGCTTTTTGTGGTATTACCTGTATGCATTTTATAAATTTGTTTGATATGTTTTACCATTTTTATTGTATTAATATTTTCGATTATTTTATTATATAATTATACACATTTATACGCATATAAACATACTGTATATATATGTGTGTGTGTATATATATATATATATATATATACACACACACACAATTTTTTATATGCATGCATTTACATGTTTTATACATGCATTGGTACTTTTCATAGAAACGATACGAAATTATTTGTTCAGTTTTATCGTAAAGAATTTGTTAGAGACTCTTATTTTGAAAACTGCAACGGTTTGGGGTCACGTGACAGTAAATGTACACAGTCTGTCAAACCTGTATGTCCACATCATCTCTGCGGAAGATCATGAACCTTTATATCGCAGAGTAAGCGTATTAGACACATATCGGGTGAGTGATTGGATTTACTGCAGGGGATAAAATCGACACCTTTTAATTTTGTCCCTCGTGTTAAAACTGCAGCACAGGTGCATTTAATGCTGCATTTGAGACTCACATTATTACAGATCCAGGGGATTCAGAAAAAAACCCGTACCATTTTTTCATTGATACTGTGGTAACACCATAGTGCAGTGTTGATATCAAATGATTTATGATTATTATAATCCGTGTTTGTTGCTCCTCAGAATGAGAGCAGATTTGACACTTCTGCTCGTCTGTTTGCTGCTGCCTGCAGTCAGAGGCACATTATCAAGGACCGATGGCAAGAAAGCCAGTAAGATCCAGGAGGCGGAGGTGAGACTGCTGTGATCTGTGTGAGTGTTGTCTGTTGGATATGCTAACACTGAATGTGTGTGTGTGTGTGTGTGTGTGTGAAGACAGCAGCGGCGGATCGTCCGGTGCAGGAGCGCGGTCTGGCGGTGACGGAGCCTCAGTGGCGGGACATAGTGAGAGAGGAGAAGAGGTTCTGTCCCCAGTGTGTGTCCACACGACACTTTAGAGGAGCTGTACTGGGATACATCACACCTGTGAGTCACACAGCATCTATCTATCTATCTATCTATCTATCTATCTATCTGTCATTCTATCTATATGTCTATCTATCTATCTATCTATATGTCATTCTATCTGTCCGTCTGTCTATCTATCTGTCTGTCTGTCTGTCTGTCTATCGTTGCGTGGCGCGCACCTGCTCGTATTACTGACTAAACTTTCACTCCTTGTGCTTAAACGGTCAAATACACATAGTTACGTGTCAAAATGCCCGTCTTTGCGAGTATCCTCGTAAACACAGTTATTTGTGTCTTAAATTAATGTTAATAGTTCAAGATAAAGCATGTGTTAGGCTATATGAGATCCTTAGCCTATATGATGAGATCTTAAAAGGATATTCACCCAAAAATGAAGATACTGTCATCATATACATATATATATATATATCAATCATTGTTGTGATAAGGGGGCCCTGCCGTAAGTCATAGCCCCGGGGCCCAGTGCGGTCTTAATGCGGCCCTGGTTCTATCTATCTATCTATCTATCTATCTATCTATCTCTATCCATCTTTCTGTCTGTTTATCTGTCTATCTATCTATCATCTATCATCTACCTCTCTATCCATCTTTCTGTCTATCCATCTATCTGTCTATCTGTCTGTTGTTCTGTCCATCCGTCCGTCCGTCTATTTATCCATCTATGTCTGCCTGTCTGTCGTTCCATCTATCTATCTATCTATCTATCCATCCATCCATCCATCTATCTATCATCTATCCGTCTGTCTGTCTGTCTATCGTTCTATCTGTCCATCAGTCTATCCATCAGTCTATCTATCTATCTAGCTATCTATCTGTCTGTCTATCTGTCTGTCTGTCTGTCTGTCTGTATCTATCTGTCTATCTGTCCGTCTGCCCGTCCATCAGTCCATCTCTATCCATCTTTCTGTCTGTCCGTCCGTCTGTCGTTCTATCGTTCTATTGTTCTATCTATCTGTTGTTCTGTCATATCTATCTATTTTATCTCTTCATCCATTCATCCATCTTTCCGTCTGATCTTTCAGTGGAATTCTCATGGATATGACATCGCTAAGGTGTTTGGTCCGAAGCTGACGTCGGTGTCTCCGGTGTGGCTTCAGCTCAGACGGAGGGGACCAGAGAGCTTCCACATCACCGGTCTTCATGACCCTGGTTCTATCGATCCATCTTTCTGTCTGTTTATCTGTCTATCTATCTATCATCTGACTATCTATCTATCTATCTATCTATCTATATCCATCTTTCTGTCTGTTTATCTATCTATCTATCATCTACCTCTCTATCTATCCATCTTTCTGTCTATCCATCTATCTGTCTGTCTGTCTGTTGTTCTGTCCGTCCGTCCGTCCGTCTATTTATCCATCTATGTCTGCCTGTCTGCCGTTCTATCTATCTATCCATACATCCATCTATCTATCTATCCGTCTGTCTGTCTGTCTATCGTTCTATCTATCCATCAGTCTATCCATCAGTCTGTCCATCAGTCTGTCCATCAGTCTGTCCATCAGTCTATCTATCTATCTATCTATCTATCTGTCTATATGTCTATCTGTCTGTCTGTCTGTCTCTCTATCCATCTTTCTGTCTATCTATCTGTCTGTCCGTCCGTCTGTCGTTCTATCGTTCTATTGTTCTATCTATCATTCTATCTATCTGTTGTTCTGTCATATCTATTATATTTATCTCTTCATCCATTCATCCATCTTTCCGTCTGATCTTTCAGTGGAATTCTCATGGATATGACATCGCTAAGGTGTTTGGTCCGAAGCTGACGTCGGTGTCTCCGGTGTGGCTTCAGCTCAGACGGAGGGGACCAGAGAGCTTCCACATCACCGGTCTTCATGACCATGATCCCGGTCTGATCACTTCCATCTACCTCTCTATCTATCCATCTTTCTGTCTATCCATCTATCTGTCTGTCTGTCTGTTGTTCTGTCCGTCCGTCCGTCCGTCTATTTATCCATCTATGTCTGCCTGTCTGTCGTTCCATCTATCTATCTATCTATCTATCCATCCATCCATCCATCTATCTATCATCTATCCGTCTGTCTGTCTGTCTATCGTTCTATCTGTCCATCAGTCTATCCATCAGTCTATCTATCTATCTAGCTATCTATCTGTCTGTCTATCTGTCTGTCTGTCTGTCTGTCTGTATCTATCTGTCTATCTGTCCGTCTGCCCGTCCATCAGTCCATCTCTATCCATCTTTCTGTCTGTCCGTCCGTCTGTCGTTCTATCGTTCTATTGTTCTATCTATCTGTTGTTCTGTCATATCTATTATATTTATCTCTTCATCCATTCATCCATCTTTCCGTCTGATCTTTCAGTGGAATTCTCATGGATATGACATCGCTAAGGTGTTTGGTCCGAAGCTGACGTCGGTGTCTCCGGTGTGGCTTCAGCTCAGACGGAGGGGACCAGAGAGCTTCCACATCACCGGTCTTCATGACCATGATCCCGGTCTGATCACTTCCCTTCCTTCGTAAGACAATGATGCTTTATGAAGAAAAAAGCCAAACGATTTTCTTTAAGCACTAACGATGCTCGTCTTTTCACAGGTTGGGTCAAAGCCGTGAGGAAGGCCAATAAGAAAAACAAAATACGTGAGTATGGATTTAATGTCATTGTGGAAGACACAAGGTTAATCTAGCTGAAAGCGTCAGGTTCTCAGTGTGGTTTCTCTCTCAGTTCCTCGGCTATTGTTTGACGGATGGTCCTATCAGGACTACATGAGCGTTCTGGACAGCGAGGATGAGATAGAGGAGCTGGGTCGAGAGGCGCTGGAAGTGGCAAAGGTGCTGTATCTACATGCTGTGTTCACGTCATTTTGGGATAATCATTTTTACAGGATGGTTCCTGACTAGGATCCATATTCCACTTCATGGGAACTTAAGAGTGCTCAGGTTTTTGTTAGTTCCCAGTTTTGTTAGTTAATCAGTGTGATTTCACTTTTGTGTAACCAAAATATACTTGTATGCTGGCTAATCTGCTCTGATGAACTTTATTTCATTTCCTCATCGCGAGAATCGTTGACTGACTGTGATTTTTCTCACTAGGCTGAAGGGTTTGATGGTTACACACTGGAGTTATGGAGTCAGCTTGGAGGAAATAAGAGAAAGTGAGTAAGAATATGTGTGTTGGTATTGTTTACTGGAACTGTTAAAATTTTTTTTTGATAATTGAAATAAAGCCGAAATAAAATATGAATTGGTTGGAAATGAGAAATATTGTCCTGGCAACTAACTGAAA